TCTCAGCCTCAGGGAAGAAGTCAGGCAGCAGGCACGAGAGACCAGGCAGCCAGAGTCAGGCAGCCTCAGTCTTGTCTTCCTACATGAACCCCCGCCTCACGCTGGGTGCAGCCAGCTGCAGGAGGCCAGGGAGGGAGGCCCATCAGGAGAGGGGCAGCAGGGCACAGGCCCCTCCAGGGGGAACTGGAGAGGCATTTACAGTCAAGTGAGAAGAAGCAGGAAGGAAATTCCTGAACAGAATGCAGAACAAGGCCCTCGGTGTTGGAAGACTTGGGTTCAAGTGCCAGCCTTGCCACCTCCTAGCTGTGTGACCTGGGCCAATCACTTATCCATCTTGGAGTAGATCTCTGTTGCACAGGGGAGGAGGGAGATCTGAATACATCCCCTGGAGTGGATTCATTCTGCATCCGGGAATGCACTCTCCTCACATCTGTTATTCTCCTAGGTCCTCTGGTGGTCTGCTCTTTGACCCCGGGGCAGGGAGAGGCCGACAAAGAGCCCATTCATCTCCTCCTGGCCCTGCAAGCCAGGCAGCATGGAGGGCTCCAGGGGCCTGGTGCAGAGCTGGTGGGGCCCGGGGAGTGCTCACCTGTAGCAGTTGTTGTTATAATTGTTATAACTCCCCAGAGCAGTCAGACAACCCAGGCAGATGGCATAGGAGAAAAAGATCTGCGTCCCAGCATCCACCCAGACCTGTAGGAAGGCACAAAGAGGTTGGCATAAAGAGAAGTCAGGTGGGCAGCAAGCAGGTGGGTGGGTGGGGTGGCCCAGTTCTCTGAAATCCCCCACCCACACCCTGCCTCCAAAAAGACTCCACAAAGGGATAAATGTCCTCATCTCAGGAATGCAGTTTTTAGAAGTTCAATTCCTGGGTTAATTAAATATAAATGTCCTTAATTAAATCCAGAATTTTCTAGAGGTTATGGACAATAGTTCACCAAATAGCAAGAATCTAGGTGTATGGGACTCTGCTCCAGCTGTGTGACCTTGGAAAAGCTACTTAACCTCTCTGAGGCTTAGTCTCCTCATCTGCAAAGTGGGGACTAAACCTCCCTCGCAGGATTGCTGAAGCCAAAACAAGTGATTTTTCTTCTTTGTGGTTAAAACTACATTTGTTTCCAGTTAACACTTAAAGGCATTATGTGAATTAACTCTACTTTCCATACACACCCTCCCTTCTCTCCCAATTTTTAATACTTGTACTATGTCTGTGTTATCAGAACATACAACCAGTCTATATCATATTATCCCCCTTTGCCATTAAACAGTGTGAGTTCTACAGGTGACTATAAGTTTAATGCTCACCCCCAGCCCTTGTGTTAATAATGAATGTTAATAATGAATAAAATGACTCTCCAGGCAGCGTGGTTCTCTAGTAAATTTCTCTGGAAAGGCTTATGGGAAATACATTTCCTGGGCTCTTTCGTGTTCCTGATAGTTGATCTGTGGCTTCTGTACTTGAAAGTCAGTTTGGCTGCACATAAAATCCTCGGTTCTCTTTTTCTCTCCCCGAGTATTCTGACGTTGCTCAGCTGTCTCCTGGAACAAAGTGCTGCTGTAGAACAGTCTGACGTCATTCTGATTTGTTTCCCCTTAGAAAGCATTTACTCTCTTTGTCTGGATGTCCAATAGGTATGCTGCTTTCTCTTTGAAGCCAAATAATTTTAGTATTATTCTAATAAAAACATATCTTAATGTTGATTATTCTGGGTTATTTTTTCCCAGGCTTGTGATACACTTCTTCGAGATGCAAATTCAAGTCTTTCATTTCAGGACAAAAAATCCTAAGTTGTTGTTTTCAGTATGTGTTCTCTTCCATTATTTTGGATTTCTTCTTTGGGAACTTGTCTGTATGTTGGATCTTCTTTGTCTGTCTTCTACACCTATCACTTTTTCTTGCATTCTTTAAAAACTCTTTCTTCACTTTTTTTCTTTCCTAAGCTGTCCTTCCTGTCAGCTCTCTTTTCAAATCTTTTTGTCTAACAATTTCACATACGCTAATGTTTCATAGCATCTTTTTTATTATAATAGCTTCGTATAAAATTTGACCACAATCCTTTTCTGTTGCTCACAGGCAGGTGAAATGCATTGTCTCGTACTCTTAGAAGGGGGTTTTCTTGTGTAGAGAAATGAAGGTGATCCAGGTAGACTCTCTGGCCTCACAGTTCTAGGGTTGCCTCTTCTGTTATTCTCAGAAAGTCTTTAAAACTATGGCCATGTAGACAGTACTTTCTGAAATTACTGTTCTCCATTTCCCTCCTCCACTCTTTTCCAGAACTTCTTTTTGTTTCCTCTAGCGTCTTTGTCCTGCTCCATTGGGATTCTGTTTCCAGTGGTTTCTCCTTAGTGTGGGGTTCCTCTCTGACCACAGAGCCTCAGCTGGTCAGTCTCTAGAGTGTCCAGCTCCCACACTCCTGCCTGAACTTCCTGCAGTCCTCTTGTACTCACCTATGCCTTGCAGCCTGCACATATCCCTCCTAGTTTTGGCTGATGTCCTCAGATAGATCCACGGGCCTCCTACTCCCAGAGTCCTCTCCTTGTAGGGATGAATACATGTTAGAGATTTCTGGGTTTCCTGCCTCTCCATCTCCTGAATTCCCTTTGCCTTCATCTTCATCTCATCCCACAGAGTTGATACCATGTAGATGTTGCTGCTGCTGGTTTTTGACCCTACCTGTTCACATTTTGTGGTTCATGGAGCCACCTACTTACACTGCAGGTACTGTCCATAGGTTTTTGGTTTTACTATCCTAGTTTTTCTGTTTGGATGAGGTGATTCAGGGAAGTTAAAAAAAACATATTTTTTCTGTTGCCATCTTGTCTCCTTGATCTCAAGAAATTTTCAGAGGGCAGATTAAAGGAGGTTGGGTTTCACTGTAGGTGAGAGAAGAATACCCAGAATTGAGGGATTTGCTGGGGTGCAACACTAGAGGATGAGCCCATTTTGTAAGGGAGGTTGGAGGTGTAACTTGGGGGAAGCGGGTATAAGTAGAATCTAGATAAGATATCCAAGTGAGTTGTTCAGGAGACAGGTGGAAAGTCTAGGGCTAAATACTGTAGTCTGGGCTAGTGACACAGACTTAAAAGTCATTGGGAGTTTACTAGTAACTTAGCCTCTCCTTGACTCCACATCCAAAACTTTCTCCACTAGCCCTTTCTATTTTCTACATTTGGAAAACCAGTGTTGATTCGACTTTTCTGCTGAGACACATGCTCATTGGGCATGCAGAGCCTAGAACCTCCAGGATTAGATTTCTTGAAAAAGTCTCACGATGAAGTGTGATATGTCTTCACATGGACTCTGCACCATTAGACTCCTTAGCAGCCAGGCATACCTGATGCGTGTCTCTGTTTTTAAATATGCTTGTGGTTGTGAAAATGCAACAGGGCCCCAACTGTTAGCCTCCCTGACACCTCTGGCTGAGAAGGAACAGATGAACTCACTAGGGAGCCTCTGTATTTGTTAAAATAATTCCTGCTAGGTTATGCTGGACTAAATAATACCGCCCTGCTTCCCCAATCTCAATGGCTTAGTGCAATGGAAGTTTACTTTTCAGCCACGCAAAGCCCATTACAGGTTGTGAATGGGCTCTTTTCACCCAAAGACAGTGACTCAAGCCTTCCTACCTTATTATGATGCCTCCAAGTAGCACAACCTCGGAGGCAGAGGGACAGAGAACTGGAGCTTTGCTTGGAAAGTTTTTAAGAGCCAGACTTGGGAATTACTTATATGACTTCTGCCCACACACCACTGACCAGGATCAAGTCTCGTGGTCCCAACCTCAAGGCTAGGAAGTCTGGGAAATGTAGTCTTCCTATTTCACTCAGGAAGGGAAAAAAGAGGTGGGTGGTGAACACACAGCATTATCCCAAGTCTAATTCATCAAAGGTGACTTCCTTCTTCAACAAGAAATTCCACAAACATCAAGCTAGATCACGGGGGCCACTGGAATGCTCTGACAGAGGGGCAAAGAGAAGCTAATAAAACAGACTAACAGCACATTCATGAACCTTCTACCAGTCTGGTGACGTCTCAGGAGGTGGGACTCCTGAGTCAACATTTGCTGAAAACCTACTGTGTATGCAAGGCGTCCATGGGACAACCTCATAATAGACACAAGCATCTCACTAGGGAGTACTGTCATCTGCATTTTTAGATACAGGAGACGAATCCACTGAAAATCCAACAGCTAATAAGGGACAGAGACAGGTTCGAACCCAAGGCGTTCTGGCTCCATGTTGTAAAGAGAAAAGCTGGGGCCTCCTGGTGCGCTGGGGAGGCCTGGACTCTCGGGCGGGATTTAAACAGCGCTGTGGCTGTGAGGTCAACAGGACAAAGGCAACCCCACCTCCATGAAAGGAAGACCAGGCAACTGAGCCCCACTGACCAGCATCTCCCAGGACGCGACAAAGGGGGCAGTTTGGCGGAGAAAGGGCTTCCTATTTCTCAACACAATTTGAAGGGAAAACAGTCTCCACAGAACAAACCCTAAGGAAGCTGGGTCAGCCACTGAGAAGCGGATCCCTCCCCATGCTCTGCAGCAATGAATGGGGGGCGTTCTGGCAGCGCGGCTGGGGCGGTCTGCATTCAGAGGCTGGGAGGACGGATTTGCATGGGAACGGGGAGCAGAGCCCCTGTGGAAGAGAGGGGGTCCTGCCCTCTAGCTGGGGCTACTTCCCCTCCTTCAGGGCAACTGGTTCCAATGAGCCTGGGCGCACAGTAGGTGCAGAAAGCAATGGATCAGGGTGTAAGTTGCCCTTCCAACTGGACCAGCAGGGCCCAACACAGCGGGCACGGAGTAAGTCCTCAATGGTATTGGCCAGGAGAAGCAAAGAAGGATGGACGGATGGATGAGGACACACTCCTCCCGACCCACGCTCAGGAGCTACACTGTCAAGGTGGATGCCTAGTACGTGCTGCCCCAGGCCACACAGACGGGACTTTACAGCATACGAGGCATCGTGCTATGTCCTGCGACCTGCTCACTGTCCTGGGTGGGGGTCATCACGCCCAGGTTAGAGACAGTTGTGTGTGGGGTGGAAACACATGTGCCCCCTCCCCCTATTCCCACTTTGACCTTTTGTGTAGAACGTCTAACCTCTTAGAAGTTTGGAGGCAACAGCTTAATGTCTTTCCTCACCTTTGGAGAAGAGGCTTCCCTAGTTGGGGAGGCTAGAGAGAGGGCCGCTGTGCATACGTGCCTAGCACCTCCCTCCTTCTCTCACAAACAGAAGATGCTGTGTGTGAAACAAACACTCAGCGCAGAGCGCAGCCTGTGGAGAGCACCAAGGAGGTGCTCAGAAACCCAGCCAAACGGCAGGCGCTTAGTCGACAGTAATCCCTTCCCTTGACCCGCCACTCTTCACAAACCTGGAGGGGAAGAAAAAAGCCTCTTTTCCCTTTTCTCTGACAATAAACAAGCACAGAGTGTCCACTGTGTGCCAGGCAAAGTTCCAGGGGCTGCTGCCCTCGGGGAGCTTACGTTCCAGCAGGAGGGATGGACCATACATACAGCAGATGAGCTGTAACACAGCGACTGGTGGAGACAAGTGACTGGGGAAACGAAGAGAGAGTGGGGCGGGGCAGCGGGGGCCGGGGCCCTCCTCCGCAAAGGGAATTGGAGCTGCAGGTGTGGTTTCCTACGGGTCTAAAGCAGCAGGGGCTACAGACAGAAGTTGCCCTAGCAAAGCGC